TAACTTATCAACGGTTCGTGAGGGAGGGCGGGCAGGGGAGGGGAGGGAGGGAGAAGTGGGTAGCTGATATCAGGGCTCGAGTAGAAAGAGAATGCTTTTTAAATGATGTTGGCAGCATATGTGCAAATGTGCTTGATACACTGGGTGAATGTATGGATTGTGATAAGAGATGTAAGAGTCCCCAGTGAAAGTATCTTTTAAAAATTGCCCAGTGAAGACCTTAGGAGTAGCGGGGAAGCTCAAAGGTAACAGATAGTTTATTTGTATACTATTAGACTTTACACCTCTAAACTTCTGAACCAAGAGGAAGCTCAAACCTGGTGCTATTTTATACTAAGCTATTCCTAGGAAAATGAAAAATCTGAACATGAGTAAAATGGAAATATCTTTGTCATGAGTCCAAGTCAAAGCAATAATCTTTAGTGGCAATGTCACAAAATCTGGGCTCAAATTCATTCTATTTCAATCTCATTTCCATCCCTTCTTGGTTATACAGCCTTGGCAAGTTCCTTTCTATAGGAATTTATATCAGGGGTCCCAAAGACGACTCTCAGGTTCAATGTCTTGAGAGCTTACAGAATTTAGGAAGGCTAATATATCCAGTTACAGTTTATTACAGAGAGGATACTGATAAAAATTAACATAAATACAGGTCGCATGGGACCAGTCCAGGAGACACAGGATACGAGCAAGCTCCCAGTTGTTGTATCCCAATGGAGTTGTACAGACAGTATTTATTTTCCCAGCAGTAATTTTTGGCCACACCTGTAAAGTATTACCAACTAAGAAAACTCACCCACGCCTTGGTGTCTAAGGTTTTTATTAGAAGTCAGACATATGATCATGAAACATCCAACAATACTGTATTGGAAATAACTTAGATCTATGTTAGAATCAGAGTAAAAACTTGTATAGAGTTGGTATTTGGAGGTCCAGACTCAAACAAAGATTGGGAACAGGCCCAGTTATCTGAATATTAAACTCCCACTCAATACCATTGAGTCTATTCCAACTCATATAGATCCTTTATCGGGTTTCTGAGACTGTAAATCTTTATGGAAGCAGACAACCTCATCTTTCTCCGTGGTAAAAGAAAGTTGTTGGTAGGTTTGAACCACCAACCTTAAGATCAGTAGCCCAATGCTTACTTGGCAGCACCAAAGGAGCTCCTTAAATATCAGATTAGGAAATTTAAAATCAATAACTGCATTAGTTAAGTCAGATCAGAATTTAGATTTGAGGTATCAGAAGCCAAGGAGTCTTAATAACAACAATAAAATAAATGAAATTTTAAAAGCTAAAATGGATTAGAATTCAAGGAGTTTTCTAAAGTAAACACTGAGATACCATCATCATCCATCAAGACAAGGTAATCCAGAGACTTACCCATGGGGATGACTTAGGCTGCCTTCCTTTTATCCTTTATCCATTCCTGGGGTGGGGGTGTGGGTAATAAGACCTACATACAGTTAGGAGGCAGATGAATGTCTGCATCTCATGCCAGACCCTTAAGCAGGAAGAGGAAACCCAAGAAAGGTGCGGATTGAGGAGGCAAAGTAAAATGCAACTGTGTTCAGGTCTCCCTTTCCATCCCCAAACTGATTTTTATAGACAGCATAATGAGAAGCATCACAACCAGAAGATCAAGAATCACAAACTCAAGGGTCTCTTAGACCAAGAAGTATACCAACGAGATGAGAGAATCAAACAACTGGAGAATGAAGCTGCTATACTGCGACAACAAGTGGAAAAGGTGAGAAAAACAAATAAAAGGTGATGAAAATGCCTACTTATTTTTTCATTTATGTGTGGCCTTGTCAGAGCCCATATTTTCAGAACTTCAGAATGTGACCTTATTTGGAAAAATAGGGTATCTGAAGGTGTAATTAGTTAAGATATGGTCATACTAGATTAGGATGGGCCCTAAGTCTAGTATCTAGTATGACTGATGTCCTTAGAAGAAGAGAAGAGGGGACACACACACACACACACACACACGCGCGAAGAAAGCTATGCAACAATGGAGAACGTTACTGGAATGATGAGCTACAAGTCAAGGAATGCCAGTAGTCACCACAACTAGACGTCTTGGAACAGCTCTGCCCTCAGAGCCTCCAGAAGGAACTGCCCCTGAAGACACCTTTGTTTCAGACTGTAAGTCTCCAGAACTGTGAGACAACACATGGCTGTTGTTTTAAAGCCACTTCATTTGCAGTGATAAGGTAGAGCACCCCTGGGAAACTAATATACATCCCCAAAGAACCACAGATCTCCCGAAATACACTGGAGATCATTTATAAACAGAGGCAAGACAGAATTATTGCATCTTTTGGTTACTGTCTTTGAAAGTTATTATGGTTTGGCTGTAGACAGACTTGCATTCAAATTCTAGCCCTGCCACTTAATAGTTCTATGACCTTGGACAACTATTTGCATGTCATTTTCTCATCTGTGAACTGGAGGAAATAATCCCTACCTCACAAGGCTCTTAGGGAGATTGAAATATAAAATACAAAAAAGAAAAAAGGCACTTGGCAGACCTAGATTTTAATTGAAATTATTTTCTTTCTTTTGGGCATATAATCTCTTAGAAGCATGTTAATCTGTGGGCACATAGTAGTGCACAAGAGAAATTTTTCATAGAATTAGAACTTCTCACCTAGAGAGGACACATTAGTACAGTCCTGGGCCTATGGACCAGCCCACAAGCATAAAGAAGCTGGACCCCTCTTCTAAGTGCCAAGTCTCAAATCATAATAATAATGGCAATTACTTTGACTTCATCCCCTCACCCTCTTTTTACATAGATGCTTTTAAAATCTTTTTGTAGCAAGTCACCTGGGTCCTCTTACTGTCATCATCCAACCCACATTTTGCTCCTGATTTCTTGGTTCAAAAAGTATTGTATTTCCAAAGGATAGAATGTCTATAGTTTGCCAGTATCTTTTTGAATCCAGTTATAGCTTGCAGGGTATTATTTGTGGAATAACTGCTTCAAATCTTAATCTTTGCTGTAAATATATTTAAATGATAGTAGATATGAGTATTGTTAGATATTAAAGGGTGAAGAGCCTGAAATTGTGAAGTGATTTGTTACTGAACATGTTGTAATCTCCCTTCCATAATTCTTTGACAATAGAATTCTTTTGGGGGCTGATTTCGATTCGTGCCTTATTTAAAAGAAAGAAAGAAAGCTCCCCTTCCTGAGCCTGTGACCCTCCCATCTGCCAAAATGCTCTTGTTCTTCTCACACCACGACTCCCTCCCACCACTGACGGGAGAGGAACAAACACACAAAAGTGCTGGTACTTGAATGCACCAGTGACGTCAGCAGGCCATTGCTGATGGAAGGATAGCAGTTCCGCCTTTTTGAGCTTCAGATTCCCTTACTGGGGCAGATGTTTCCCTAATACCTACTTCATTTTTCAATACAGGATAGTGGTGTGTATATGTGTGTGTGTGTTTTTCACAAAATGCATACCTGTAGCATTTTCGTGATAGCTTCCCTAATTATTACTTTGAGGGAAGTCACTGGTGGAAAATGAAACATGGTGTCAAGCTAGAAACCATTTCAGCATCATCTCCACAAGCATCCCCTTAATGCCCCGCTTACGTGATTGACTTGCCACCGCAAACCATGATCCTGGCACGGATTACCAGGGGAGGTGACAAAATTCCCATCTTCCCCCTTTTTTGCCTTAAAAATAATATAACTACAAAGTAAATAGAAATGTGGATTGCATGGGAAATTTTTCAATATGAAGAATTCAGAGGGGGTTTTGTTGCTGGCTTGCTACCTGTAGCTTTTAATTATAATTGAGAGTATGCGGACCTTATTAGAAGTTGCGTATAGAGACACAGTTGACCCTTCAACAATCCGAGTAAGAACCACCCAGGCCCACCATTGGACAGATTTCTCTGTCCTACTGCTGCTACAGCAAACCCAACTCTTGCACATCTCTGCTTAAAGCAGCCATTCTCAACCTGTGGGTCGCAACCCTTTGGGGGTCGAATGACCCTTTCACAGGGTCATATTTCCGATGGTCTGAGGGACCCAGACACTGCTCCTATATCCGTCTCCAGGTGGGTTAGTCTGCCCACATGCAGATACACCCACCTATGAGTACCCAGTGTGAAGACTGTTATCCATGCTACATCATGCTTCAAGACAAAATTTCATTTATTTGTCATTAGAAATAAACATTTCAGAATATATATTACTTATTGTTTTATGATTAATCACTATACTTTAATTATGTTCAATTTGTAACAATGAAAATGCATCCTGCATATCAGATATATTAAATGACGATTCATAGTAGTGGCAAAATTAGTTATGAAGTAGCAACGAAAATAATTTTATGGTTGAGGATCACTACATGAGGAACTGTATTAAAGGGTTGCAACATTAGGAAGGTTGAGAACCACTGGCTTAAGCATTGTGTGACTCCAATTATCTCTGTGTCCCTCTCACCAATGGCTCACGTGGGGATGGTTAGTGTCACATGGTAGTTAAAGCTGATCCAACACTTGGCTCACTGTAGGGGGAACAAGGGGGAAATTTTGCATATAAGTGGGCCTGTGCAGTTGAACTCGTGTTGTTAAAGGTCAACTGTATTTGAAAATATTAACCTCACCACCAAATTATCAAATACCAAAATAAAATGTTCTTCGATGTCATCCTCCTAATGACCCCATGGGACAGAATGGAACCGCATCCTAGAATTTTCTAGCCTGATCACCAGGTTATTCCCCTGCATAGCTACCAATGGGTTAAAACGACCAACCTTCCAGTTGGTATAGAGCACTTGACCATTGTGCCCCCAAGTCCCCCAGGCTCCAAACAAAACATAACATAAAATAACCCAAATAAACAGAATACTCTAGCTGTCATGAATGAAGGATCAGCAAGTGGGTGAAAACAGACGAGAGAGCAGGAGAGAGAGAAAATGAACGGACGCAATCTACCATTAGAGTTCAGCAACAAGGCTAGTCGTCTTGCATCTATAAATTGTTTTGCTGTTGTGCTACGGGGCTTTCTTGTCTGCAGGAGAAGTCGTTCCAGGACCAGGTCATCACTCAAAACAATGCCTTGATCCTAGAAAAAAGGAAACTTCTGGAGCAGCTTACAAGCCAAGAGAGACTGATCCGTGAGAACAAATGGACAATCTCTTCGGTGCAGAGCAGGTAAGGTGCAGCCCTGCTGAGAAGCCATGAGCCCCATACAGGGGATGCTGCCACCTCAGCCAAGGGTCATCTCAGTGCCTGTTCTTTCTTCAAAACAGTTTGATTGGCATATTCTTCACATATCCCACAATTCCTTAGTTCAATCACATCGAGAAGAGTTGTACAATCACCACATTCCATTTCAGAACATTTTCTTCATTTTTGTACCCATCATCATTAGCTCTCCATGTCACCTCAACCTCCCTTACCATGCCTCCAGGGGACCATTAATCCAGTTACTGTCACTATCGATTTATCTATTCTGGATTTCATATACAGCAAAACATTTAAAACAAAAACAAACATAAAAACAACAAAGTAAAACCAATAAAAGCCTCAAACGACTGTCTCTTTATATTTTGCTAATCATTTCTATCATAATTGAGTTTACAATAGTCTCTGTCTGATAGCAAGTGTATTCATATCCATCCACTGTGATCAGAGGGGATTCATCAGAGGCTTAATCCATGTGGGGACCCTGCAAATGGATTTGGGGCTGTCACTGTCAGCCATCGCCTCCTCAATCCTGGTTTTCACAATTTAAGATATAATACCATTCCCTCCTTCCGATTTGGATTTTATTCCTTACCATGCTTGGGTCACATAGGCTGGTGTGCTTCTTTCATGTAGACCTACTTGATGCTTCACTTAGATGGCTGCTTATTTGAATACAAGGCACTTTAAGACCCAAGGCACTATTCTTTGTGATAGTGAGGAACCATCTGCTTTCTTCACCACACTTTGCTATTGCACCCATATCTTCAGTGATCTCTTCATGAGGGCAAGCATTGAGCGGGGCCATGTCATAAGAACTAATTGTTCCTGGATTGGGGCTAGAATTAAGTGCAAGCTCCACATCCATTTGTTTATGGTTTACGTATGTCTCTGGTTTACTTTAGAGACCCTCATTGTCATTTTATGACAGGGAACATTTTCAGTCATCCCCTGGGCCACAAGGTAATTCTATTGATAATGTCATTAATTTGTCCAGTAGTATAGAATTTAACATAATGTTGGCAAGAGGAAAGTTATGCAAGTATAGACTGTTTATGAACTGCAATCCATGTAGATTTATACAGGTTGAACTCTTAAATGATGGAGCTCTGTTCGTATTGACCATGGGGTTGGTGATTAGGGAGATTTTCCAGTAACATTCATTTGCAAAGGTAGAACCTTACCTATCAGATTAATACAGGTCATAGAAGGCATTTAAATAGTCAATATATGGTGGTTCCTGGCCACTTTCCACACACGCACAAAGCAAGGGATCCTAACCAAGGTCCAGTGACCACCATTTCTGAAGCCTTGAGATGGCATTGTTTCTTCCCACACTAGGGAGTTTCGGTCTTAATTCCAAGGGATACAGGTAAGTTTGAGGTAAAGCCCAGTTCATTCAGTGGGATTTCCACATCGCGTCTTTCTGATGTGGTCTCTGAAGGATGCCATGCTCCCAAAAGGACACAGTCTAAAGTCACCATATTTCAGAATGCATGGCCTGGGTCACCAAGAACTAGATAGAAATGAGGTCAAAAGTGTCTAACCAGGAACCTAGTACCAGGCTTATTCTCCCCTTGGGTTCTATATCATTATCGTTGTGTTTCCTTTCCCAATGTGAAGTTGCTGTTCCCATTTACTCACCATCAGAAATGTAGATGCCGCCTCCCAAACAGAGGCTTCCATCTCCCAATCTTGACTTTTCAGTAAGGTTTCCTTGTCTCTTGATTTGGCACGACCTTATCCCAATGTGGTATGGCATCAAGTGGGTAGTTTTCCCCCTTTCCCCACATCTTGAATGAGTGTCCCCAGCTGAGGTGAGGTCTCCTCTACTGAAGTGGTTCTCAAGATGGGCATCTAAAGGGGATGATGTATAGATGGCTCTCTATCCCTCTGTTTGGATCAGACGTTTACGAGGCCTGAGAGCAGAAGCCTGCCTACATCTTGGTGTTTTCCCTTTTAATGGTGGACTCATGCAGTACTTGTCCTTTTGTGATTGACTAACTTCATTCAGCATAATAGTTTCCAGGTCCTTCCAGGTCCTGAGATGTTCCATGCTTTCATCACGGATGCATTTAGGAATGCCTTGTGTGTATGTATTATCACTTCTTTATCCATTCTTCTCCTGTTGGGCACTTGCGCTGTTTCCAGCTTCTTGATGAACTAACTGTGTTACAATAAACACGAGAGAGCATATTCATTCATGTTCCATCTCTTATGTCTTTGGGGGCTAGTTTCCAGTTGTTTCTATCCCCAGTTGTTTCAGGTAGTGCCACATCACTTTCTTTTTTCTGAGTTTGGATTGAAGAAGGATGTTGTATTTCTCTAAGGCACATAACATATATACAGCTGAGTCTAGATTAAAGGTCAGCTTGTACACCAAAGCCAGCCAGATCCTTTGGGTGGCTCATTCGAAGGGGTGAGACCACCAGCTGGCTCACAAGAGAAGCACCCATGCCTTAGCGCAGGTTTTGGAATTTTTCCAGCCTTGAGCTCATCAATAATTTCTTCAATATCCTTAGGTGTCAAGTCCTCAGAGTAGCGGTCATTTATTTGAACCTTTGGTGCATTCACACAGGCACCTATACATTCCACCTCTGTAAGAGTAAAAAGCCCATCAGGTGTAGTCTCCCTGACTTTTATTCTACGCTTTCTTTGAATGGCCTCCAGTATATGCTGTGAGAATCACGAAGCACGCAAGGTGCAGTAGTGCAGACCTTAATGTGGTGCTTCCCAGCAGGCTTTCGGTGGATTATACATTGTATAAAAAGTTACTACTTCATGTACTCTCATTGGAGGTATTTGTAAAACTTCTGCCAACTCGTTCATAGCAGAGATGGGCAACCCTCTATTCTGTCTCTGTGCTAAATCCAGGACTGGAAGTACAGCTGCTGCTTTATGGCCTTCTGGATAGTTGTTTATAATTGCCTCTATTCTCTTATAGTTTTCCAGTGTGAAATCAAATGGAGTATCTGGGTTATTCTCAGGAATCTCTGTGCACAAAGAAGGCTCCTCCAGCTCCATTTTGTACAGCTGTCTTGTGCAAATTCCTTATTTGTCTGCCCCGCTGGGTGGTTAGGCCAGCTGTCCCAGCGTGGAATACCACAGAGAACACAGTTCGTCTTTCCCAGACACCATATCACTTTCCACAGTGGTTGTATGTGTTTACAAGTCCACCAGCAGTGTACATAAGTTCTAATTTCTCCACATCACCTTCAGCATTTGTTATTTTCTGTTTTAATTGGGCTATCATTATGGGTGTGAGGTGGTATCTCATCGTAGTTTCAATTTGCATCTCCTGAATGGCTAGTGATTGGAGCATTTTTTCATGTGTTTGTTAGCCATGTGTGTTATCATTTTTCATGAATACTGTTTATATATTTTGCTCCCTTTAAAAAAAAGTTTTATGAAGGTATAGTCCACAGATCATACAATTCAGTAGTTAAATCATATCAAGAAAAATGTATATAGTAATTACCATAATTTTAGAACATTTTCTTCTTTCTTGTATTCCTTGTTATTAGCTCTCTATTTTCCTCCAACCTCCTCTGCAATACTCCCAAGTAATCATTGATCCAATTACTCTCTCTACAGATTCACCCAGCCTGGAGTTTACATGCTAAAACACATGCACTAACAATCAAAATAGCTAACAACAATAACAAAATAAAACAGAGGGGAAACCTCCCTTATAAAGAAAACAGAAATTACCAAAAACTGGAGCAACTTTAAAATGGGTCAAAAGGGAGATCAAATGATCCGGTGTTAAATTTTAACCTACCCATATCCACTTTCCGATGCAACAATGCAACCAGCATGATATCAAGGCTATTCACATTGCTGGTCTCTGATCAGAGAAGATTCACCCAGGCTTAATCCACATGTATTTCCCTTTCTTTCTTTTTTTTTTTAACAAATACAACTTTTAAATGGGGCAAAAGGAGGACCAAATAAGATGTTATGTCTTAATCTGTATCTACCATGAAAATATCTAGCATATGAGCAAGAACCAATGGTGCTGAAGGAAGTTAAAATTACACTGAAGTAGCCAAAAACAGGCCTCCATGAATTGATGAAATACCCATTGAAGTGTTTCAGACAGCTGAAGAAGTACTCACTCATCTATGCTAACCGACTGGAAGAGATTCATAGTTGTGCCCAAATATGAATATGTGTTCCAAAGAAAGGTGACCCCACAGAATGCTCAAACTATAGAACGATATCATTGATAATGCGCACATGTAAAATTTTGCATAAGATCATCCAACAACAGTTGCAGCAGTACATTGACAGGGTAAAGCCAGAAGTTCAGGCCAGATTCAGAAGAGGACATGGAGGAAGGAAGAGATAACGTGACTGATGTCAGATGGATCTTGACTTAAAGCAGAGACGATCAGAAAGATGTTTCCCTGTGCTGACTATGCAAAGG